CATATTTTCTCCACTTGATGATGACTGTCTTCACTATGTTCCATGGTATATCTAATGCCTTGGAAATTCCTTTGTACCCTTCTCCTGACTGATACCTTTTAACAATGAGATCCCTCTGATGCTCTGGAAGCTCTCCGCAGACCATGTCATTTGCTGTAGGATGTGACTAAGAAAATGTCAGGAAAGACCTACTAGAATAGCTGAACTTTATTTGGGGTTAATCAGAAGCACTTTAAATGATGGCAGATGTGTACTGACTCCTATTTAACATTATTTTGAATGTGATTGCTTAATTCTGAACACAGCTACATCCCCATTTATAAGTGGGTGTACACACTTATGCAACCACATTATTTTAGTTTTTTAGGTTTACTTCACCAACCCTAAAAGATTTCAGTTTGTTTTTCAATTGAGTTGTAAGGTTTATAGGTCACATTAAACGTGGAAAAAGTTCTGAAATTATTTATCTTTGTCTCATTTTTTTAACTTCAAAGAAACCTGACATTTTAACAGGGGTGTGTAGACTTTTTATATCCACTGTATATACATGAGGTCTATTTATTAAGAATGAATGTCACACACATTTGACCAGCCATATCAAATTATTTCTGTATTTTATCAAATATTATTATTTCGTATTATCGACAGTGTAATTTAGTGGCCATAGTGCAAAATTTTCCTCATTGAGGTTTTTCAGAAAATTACCTCATTATGGCCACTAGAGGCAGCTGACAATCGAGGAAAAAATCATGTTAGCAAAATATGGTAATTATTCATTATAGCTGAGAGAATGCATGGAACATTTGTACAATGATTCTTTTTTTATAAATGGACCACATAGAGCCAGTAAAAAAAATCTTGTTTTTCCAAGTCTGCAGCAAAACAAAACCTTATCCTTTAATTTGTCTTTTTGACCTGTTTTGACTTATTTCCATCCCTCTAGCCAAAAAAAACACTTCAGACCATAGCTGGTATATGCATGGGCTCTATGAAGCGATCTCATTTATTTAGGGATTGCAACAGAACAGATTTTTTAAATGTTACTGCAGGATTTCCAATAATTAAACTGTCCAGAGGGATTCAATACTCTAAGCAAACTGGAAGTGACGTGGAAAGAAATCTCATAAAGCAGTTGTGCATAATTAGTGCACAGTAAACTATATTGTTTTGTGGATTTTCCATGTTACAGAAAAAACAAGTGATTGCTGATGGACAGGACTGGTTTGCTGAGGTAAAACAGTAAGTCCTTTGTGCTGGGCCAGCTGACTTGGCTTGAGTAAACAAACTTTGTTGGCGGTAGCAGTGGTATTTGCAACAACATATGCGTTTGCCTCTCTACCTAATATTTAAAAAACAGGGAACAGAACTAAGTAATTTCATCATCTTGGTATTTCTTTTGACTGCAATACAAACAGCTTTTACATATTGTACACCAGATGATCCAGCACAGCGACAGAAATGATAGATGGCCTTTGACAGGTTGATCTTACTGTTCTTTCAATCTGAAGTCATGATTTCTCCAGCAGTGCTGGTAAATAATTAAATACACTGTTCAACAAATTTTTATTTTTTGCCAGTTTTGGAAAGAAAAGGATCCATTTCTTAATGAATTTCACATTCTGAGTTCAAATATAACAATGAAATTTGTCAATTGGCTCTAGTTTTTCTGTAAACGGAAAGTTTTCTACTATAGGCGTAATGACTACATAATGCACAATAATTATATAGATAGATGTCTTTCCACAAATATAAAGCAAGTGATATTGACTACATAACAAAGCCTAAATGGCATAATATATTGCATAGGATTACCAAGAAAAATTATAGCCATAAGCTAAGTTGAATCATTTTAATACTTAGGATTCTCACTAGTTTTGTCTTCAGTTTGTGTCGGTTTTGCTTCTCTTGGCTTTTCTCTTGTATTCGAGGAAAGGGCTATCTCTTACAACTTGCACGTGACTACACGCTTCAGGTTCTTCCTCACTTGACTCAACCACGAAGGATTCTGGTGCTTTAGGAATTGGTAGCCCCTCTCCATGAGGAACTGGACGTATTGCCGATGGAATATTTGGATAGTGCACAGATAACTTTTTCTTCTTATTTAGCCCTTTTACAATTGGAGGCACCATACAAAAGTAACAATTACTAACATGATCTGTTGGCTCTCTCCAAATCATTGGCACAGCGAAAGGAATAGATGCCTTTTTTCCATTCAACCATTGCTCCAGTGCGTCCCACAAGAATTGCAGCATATATGTGGTGCCCAGCTCTTGTCCTGGTCTCCTATCTTGCAGCCAAAATACAAGTTGTAGGCTTTCTTAATCATTCTTGTTATCCTCCTTTTTTGTGAGATAAAAGTTATTTCACCGCAGATATAGCAGAAATTATCTCCTTTATTCACACAAGTTCGAGGCATTACTGAGTAGCCTATATAAGCATAAAACGAAATGTAAAGACGATGTCGAACTACAATCAGCTACAGATACTGCAGCTTTTATGCAGTGAAGTGATGCAACTAAAGGCTAATATTGCATCATCTCAGTATACATGCAATTTTCTATTGGTCACCAGTATCAATTGCGCAATATGCAGCTGAATTTGCATCATAATTTTGAATGGCTTACGTCATTAGATGGGTGAATATATCATGGAAACTAGAGCCAATCAACATTTTTTAGGGTCATTTTCGTTTTCAGCACCCCAAAATTATGTAAGATTAGCTAATTTTATGCCCAAAACTTTTTTACCTGTTGAACAGTGATATCAGATATTCTGTAGATGGCAATAGACCGAGGCAAGGTTTGTAGCAATCAGACAATCCATGGTGCCGTTGTATCATATTTAGCAATTAGAAAGCAAAGCCACCAGTACACCATACTTCTCTTAATGAGCACTTTTATTAATCACATAGAAACAGCAGAGTTTCAAAAACACTAGAGGATGCTGTCATTCCATGAAGAAGGAATCTTATAGTGACTCTGACACATTTCTGTGACAAATAAAAATGCTCATTATGAGCAGCATGGCTTCCTCTTGACCCTGCTTTTTAACTTTGAAAGAGCGGAGCCCATAGTAGGCAGCAAAGTGGCTAACACTATTCCTTTGAAGCACTGGGTGCCAATCCCACCCAATATCTGCATAGACTTTGAATGTTATCTACCATAATCCTAAAATGTACTATTAGGTTAACTGGGTTTCTGTTAGCAAAACTCCTTTGTAGAACAATGGCTGGTGTGCATATACCCTATAATGTACTGCATAATTTGCAGGCACTATATAAACAATGGAAAATATGTGCTGCCTATTCCATCTCATCGGAGAGAGGACCCCTTTTGTTTCTGCACTATAACTCTACTTTTCCACCTAGCTTGGATGGAAAGTTCCTGCAAAAGAGTTGGCCTGAACCATGTGTATGGGCTCTACATTTCTTTGACATAGGCCGGTTTTTAGATTGGCTGGCCCCACCCACAACCTCTCCTGAACGGACAGTTCCTTTGTGAACCTACTTCCAGATCCGTCACTTTCTTAATTCACCAAGAGATCATACACTGTACTCAAGACCATGTACTCCTTTTAAACTTAGTTGTACAGCTAATTCTCCTTATATCCTCTATCTCACCCTGTTTAGGGACTGTGAATCTGTTAAATATTAATTCAAAATTCATAATTCGGCACTTATAGGAACTATATTATAGTTATGGCAAGCTTGCAAAATATTTGGTTTTTATGATTAATCATAATTAGCATTAAAATGTGTGGTTGGCCTTGAACAAGTGATAGTGTTGAATTCTTTAGTTATAGCTGAGACAGTAAACTGTCAGCATATTTGAAGTTAAGTTAACTAGCTGGAAGCTGAGTATTTAGGACATTTCTATAGATGGGCATAGCTGGTTAGAAGATCTCTTGTATAGGATATCATGGGAGTCTGAAGTGAACCAAAATAGAATTAGTATGAAATAATATATATTCTAATACTATCTGTGTGTATCTAATTTATGTTTTATAAGTTGGTAATATGTGTTACATAAGTAGATTTTTGGTTATACAACATTATTGAGATATGTTGTAAAGATAGATTCTTAGTTATACTATCCTTTAAACAGAGAAACTGGTCACAGGCATAGGCTGATGCAACATTGTCAACTTATGAAGCAACTACATATGGGCTTGTCAATCAAAATACCATATATGTAGTCAAGGGCGGACTGACCATTTGGAAACTCTGGCACTGCCCGAGGGCCCGGGGTCAGTAGGGGGCCCCATGAGATGCCCCTGGCACCTTTTTCATAGGCTTTTTTGAGTTTGGGCAAGGACACAGGGGCCCCGTGATCCCCTATTGCCCGGGGGCCCCATGAGTTGTCAGTCCACCCCTGTATGTAGTATCCCCTCCCTTCAATGAAATTGCTCTGCTAAGCAGAACTGTTTGCCATACAAGTTCTGAGTTATGAGAATTATGACATCTACATGTAACATAAAAAAAATCCTAAAAGATGCGAAGGACGCAATACACAACACATACATACACATGTCTGTCCATTCACACACAGAAGCAAAGCATGAAGATGCTGTCGTTATTCACATACTGAGAAGCTGAAACAGGTGCATTCTCTTAGAGACCTAAGATCACGTCACTTCCTTCTTCTTGCTAAAACTCAGCTGCATTGAACAAGAAAAGAAGCACATGGAAGAATAGCCATGACCAGGTGCGGACTGACAACTCATGGGGCTCCCGGGCAATAGGGGATCATGGGGCCCCTGTGTCCTTGCCCAAACTCAAAAAAGCCTATGAAAAAGGTACCAGGGGCATCTCATGGGGCCCCCTACTGACCCGGGCCCTCGGGCAGTGCCCGAGTTTCCAAATGGTCAGTCCACCCCTGGCCATGACAATAAGTTTGACACATCTTTATAACTTCTGTTTTTATATTTTTTTTTTCCCTACACTGAACTTTTATTCATGATATGTTTTACATTGTTATTTTAACCACCTTCCGCCCTGATGATCAGTGTGGCCCCAGAAGTGCCACCTGTCAGTGCTCATCAGTGCCAGTGCCCATCAGTGCCACATGCCAGTGCCACATCAATGCCACATATCAGTGAATACCAGTGCACATCAATGCCACATATCAGTGCCCATCTGAGCTGCCTTTCAGTGTCACTCATCAGTACCAGTCAGTGCCACCTATCAATTTCCAATCAGTACCACCTATCAGTGCTGCCAATCAGTGCCACATATCAGTGCCAGTCAGTGTCGCCTATCAGTGCCAGTCAGTGCTGCCTATCAGTGCTAGTCAGTGCTGCCTATCAGTGTCATGTATCAGTGTCATGTATCAATGTCATGTATCAGTGCTGCCTTTCAGTGCCCATCAGTGATGCCTGTCAATGCCCATCAGTGCAACCTACCAGTGCCTCCTCATCAGTGCCCATCAGTGCCACCTATTAGTGTCCATCAGTGCAGCCTATCAGTGCCCATCACTGCAGCCTCATTAGCGCACATCAGTGAAGGAGAAAAATCACTTATTTACAAAATTGTATAACAAAAACTAAGAAAAAACGTTTTTTTTTTTTCAAAATTTTCAGTGGTTTTTGGTTTGTTTAAGAAAAAATAAAAATCCCAGAGGTGATTAAATACCACCAAAAGAAAGCTCTATCTGTCTCAAAAAAATGATAAACATTTCATATGGGTACAATGTTGCATGACCGCTCAATTGTCATTCAAAGTGTGACAGTGCTGAAAGCTGGAAATTGGCCTGGGCAGGAAGGGGGTATAAGTGCCCTGTAGGCAAGTGGTTAAGCCATTTGTGTGATAAAACAAAATCACACTTTATTTTTTTTTTGGCTGGCTCTTTAATTATCCGAAATCGCCTATAGACACCAAATAATTATTATATGTGTCTCAGAAAATTCTAGAGAATCAACAGATTTGAGAACATGTCGCAAATTGGAAAAGGACCTATACTGTGCCCTTTCTAATGAGCATTGGCAGTTTTAAAATTACCAAAATTGACTGAAAGTAACCGTTCAGGAAAATGGGTTTAAATTGCAATCCAGGTGGTACCGCATACATTTTTTTTCAGCAGTCCTAGACACCTGCTGGAGATGTCATTCCCAAACCAGTACTTTGCTCCATATTTGTTGGAACTGTCCAGCTTTATGTCACTTTTGGACCTTGGTTTATCATATACTCTCATCTGTCTCCTGCCTTTGGATTTTCCCCCTGTGCAAATCTCTTTGCATCACACTAGCATGCCCAAGCATCAATATCAAAAATCCTTTGTTATGCATATGGTGAATGCAGACAGACTTTGCATACCAATCCATTGGAGATCACCTGAACCCCCGACTGAAGGCAAATGGTTTTCTCATTTTGAAAAGTTTGCAGAATTTGAGGAACTAATTCACATTTCTTATGACAGAATTTCCCAGTTTCATAAGACATGGGCATGTTGATTAATTCCAAGACAACACCTGAATATTCAACAATACTCCGGAGTGGTGAGGGATAGGCTATGATCATTAGGTTGGATGGAGATAACAACAATTGAAATAAAAATGTAGCACCCTCCTAGATATGTGCTAGGTTAGTTAGATAAATTTAGTTGTGACACTTTAGTCAGTGTGACTGTGATTGTTGTTAGGAAAAAGCATAATTTGCACACTGTAATCAGTGCTACTGTGTTCTGCTAGTTAGGACTACTCCGTGTGATCATCTGCTGCCAGGTTGAAAGATCCCTCTGCATCTAGAAAGCTTGAGAAGGTGGGGAGCTATGCAGATAGCAGCATGAATACTGATAGAGCCCCAGCCTATCCCAGAGAGACTGGGTCTGATGGCATGCTGGACACCAAGTATAGCTTTACTTGTCAGCAAATGTTCCCCAAACCCATCTCTCTGGTATGCCACAGCTAATACTAAGGCAGAGAGTGGAATTTCACAAGTTGTTGAGTGTTGCTGACAAGTAAAGCTATGCTTGGTGCTTTTTATGGTTCATGAGGCAGCTTTGTTTAGTTAATTTTCCAACAGGCACCACCTGGGCACCTATGCCGGTCCTTCATAGGGCTGACGCTGCTTGGCGGTCTAAGAGCTTCCGGATTGGGGCCCGTTGTGTGTGACAGAGGCTGGAGCAGCTGCAACAATGTTGGACATATATTCGCCTACATTCCCACCCAGATGCTTCTTTGAGAGCTACTACTACAAGAATGGGAGCCTGGAGACCCACCAAATGAGAGCCTACAGTTGGGAATCTATATGTCATTTGATTATCCTAGTGTTATTTGACCGACCAGAGTGGGGGTCAATACCTTCTGGTGAGTGGGAAATTAATTTATTACTCACAAGTGGTGGAGAAGAACCAATTGGACCAATGTGACACCCTCCTATGTGACTCTCATTCATTTATATTTTCTGGACTTTACCATACCCTGTATTGGAATCACTATTACATGTGGTGTTGGGAGAGCACTTTATATATAGTTGTATTTCAACTTTCATGTTACATGACACATACGATATGTTGTGATTTTATTGAGCAAGTGCCTGCCTATTTATGGTTTTGGTGTTTAACTGCTTGCCAACCAGCCACAGTACATTTACTGTGGCAGGGTAGCACTGCTGTGCAAAATCACGTATATATATATATCGGGTAGGGGGAGCGCGAGGCGCGCAACCGCCCTACCCGCACCAGCAATCGCAACTGCAGGTGTCAATCACCGGGTCCCGCCCGGTGATTACCCTTCGCCGGAGCCCGGCGATTACCGGCAATCACTGACAGGGAGCACATTACACTGCAGCTCTCCTCCCTGTCAGTTTGAGCACACTGTTCTGGATCGCTGAGCTCAGCTTTCCGGATCAGTGTGTTATTGTGAAGCACACACTCCCCGCCCTCTAGTAAAACAATCCCCTCATACAGTTAACCCTTTGATTGCCTTCAATTGTTAACCCCTTCCTCTCCAGTGCCATTAGTACAGTGTCAGTGGTTTTTTTTTTTTGCACTGATCACTGTATTGGTGTCACTGGGGATGTCAGTGACCCCAAGTCAGTTCCCCCCCAGTGTCAGAATGTCCACCGAGGTCCCGCCATAAGTCACTGATCCCCACCATAAGTCGCTGATTGCCGCCATGAGTCGCTAATGACCGCCATTATTAGTATTAAAAAAAAAAATTCCAGTATATATACCGCTATTTGTAAATGCTATAACTTTCACGTAAACCAATTAATTTACACGTATTGGGATTTTTTTTTACCAAAAACATGTTGCAGAATACATTTTGGCCTAAATTTATACCTAACTTTGAGTTTACTATATATTTTTTATAGCCGAAAGTAAAAAATATATAGTTTTTCTTCAAAATTTTCAGTCTTTTTTTGTTTATAGCGCAAAAAATAAAAAGCGCACAGGTGATCAAATACCACCAAAAGATAGCTCTATTTGAGTGAAAAAAAAGGACGTAAATTTAGTTTGGGTACAGCATTGCATGACCGCGAAATTATCAGTTGAATTGGTGCAGCGTTGAGTACCAAAAAGAAGCTTGGTCATTAAGGGGGGGTAAATCCTCTGGAAGGCAAGTGGTTAAACTTGCGTGTTACTGAACTGCATTTAACTGCCTTCTAAGCTGCATTATGCTGTTTTTGCTTTTCCTTTGCTGCTATGGGGAGAAAATTCAGACAAGAACAAAAACCCACATGCAAAGAAGTACATGGACTCACTCAAGTTGCAGAGTCTAAGTGGTAGCTGGTCTTTGTCAGAATTTATGGGAGAGATGGGCCGGGAATCCTACTGCAAATTGAGACCTGATTGCAGTCCTCATGATTGCCCCAGCCTGTTCACACAGCTGCTGACAAGAAGTTGTCAGGTCTAGGTCTTGGCAAGTGGCAAGTGAGAGAGATGTCAGGTTCAAGCAGTAATCTTGGCAGATGGCAGGCAAGTGAGTGATCAGGTCAATCCAGGTCAGAAAAAACAGGCAGTACATAAGTAGTAGTATAGTGCTTTTAGCTCTGTGATAGCTGATAAGACACAGCTCTGGCCACTTTGGTGCTTAAATACAAAAGGATATGCCCAACACCTTTACTGGGTGCTCTGGAAGTCCTGGAGGTGGTGGAGGTCCTGGGAATCCTGGAATACACAGCAGGGATTCTGCTGCATGGGTGACCCTGTTGGTCCCCTTCTGTCTGACATCTTTTAATTGAAAACCTAAAGGAGCTAGATGGAACATTTCCATCCAAACAGTGGCTGCATCTAATTAGATGCAGCCAATATTCAGGTGTTCTGACAGCTGACTACTGAGGCTGTCAGAATCCAATATGCACAGTGGGAGATTTGTCTATTCAGAAAGCAAAGTGGATGGAGAAATCTGTTAGATCTGTTTCATTCAGTACACAGGCTGTGGCCAGCTTATGTCTGTGTGTAGGTACAGGGATGTTTCTTCCAAGAAGTGCACATAAAAAACAAAAAGAGAGCTACATTTTTTTGCAATGATTTCACCAGCTGAGTATGTATATACAAGCCCATGGTAAATTAAAATATCTACAGCTAGACATATTTAGAAATATTGTAAACTAAGATAAAAATAATATCCTTCCTCTGTACTCGGAAAAAGGAACTTCCACAACTGTTACCTAGTTGTTATGTGTTAGTTACTACAGGCTAGGCAGGCTTAGACACGTATAACTGGATTCCGCTGTATTTTTGTAAGTGATAAATCTGTTCTAGGGTTGTGTTGTGTACTTACTAAATACAGTAGTTCACATCCTACTCCTAAATCTGTGTTACTTCAAACTGTCTAGCAAGTTTACAATGTATAAGCACCACAGTTCAGAGAGGAAATACTGTTTGTGAAGGTGTGGTTGGTTCCCTGTACCACGATACATTCCTGGAAACTTGAATGGTCACTGCATAGTTGACATTTTCCACATTGCTACATTCCCTTTCTCATATTAACTAGGAATATTCCTTAGGCAACATTAAAACTTGATCTGAGAGTCTTTGATTCCTTTTACATGCTTTTTTCTTGAGCATTTGCACAGGCTTTTTTGATGGTCTTTGCAGGTGCTTTTTTGAGTGTTTTTTTTTTTTTGTTTTAATTGTAGCACCGTCTAGTGTACTACTAGAATAGTGCACTGTGTTGCAGGTAAAATCATTGTGTATGACTGATGGTAACCGTGTGAGTCCGTGATTGAGGTCGGGTTATGGCAGGTCAGCTGGATGACTTAACAGGTTGTGGCTCTATCCTCTTCCTGACTCTGAAGGACCATAGAACCTTCCAGAAGTCGGTTAGCAGGAATGGTTGGAGAACTAATCTGCATTTTTATGGGAGTCCGGCCAATCCCAGGTTTGGAGGCCTTGGTACAGTGGTGGACTGACTCATAAATATGGGAGAGTCAGGCTGTCAGAAGAGTCGGTTGGAAGATGGAGTGCTGAGGAGACAGTTGGTGCCTGGGAGTGGTCCCCTAGGTCCAGAGGGGAATGGCCTCCAAGCTGGGCTCAGGCTGGCTTGGGAGGATACATTCAACAGTGTAGCGTGAATGGGACCGAGACCTGGAACAACAGGGATCAAAGAGGACAGAGTGAGTACAGCAGCACTCTCTGGGATCTACAAGGGGAAAAAACTGCCACATGTAGCAAGCTTTAGGTTTCAACAAACTCAGTCCAGTCCTCATTAGTAAATTGCATATACAATGGAAACCACCAATTTTGTAAAGCAGCAAACAATGTGGTATAATTTTAATCACCAGATTTATTATATTGGTAAATATATGGGGGTGTGCACATTACATAAAGATTGTGTTGGGAAAAATTACAGAAAAAATTGTAATTTCCTTATGTTTTACCTTTTGTTCCAAATAAAAACCAAGGAAATAAAAATATTTGTCCAAAAAATTATATATCCGCATTTGCTACTAAATTAAAGTGTTACTAAACCCACAACAGTAAAATCAGTCTGTATATACAGTAAAAGCATGCTTGTTATACTCACTGTGGAACCTAAGGGGTTAATCCTCTGTATTGCATAAAAAGACCATTTGATACTTTTTTTCTCTGGTCCTCCCCTTTTTCCAATGACCAGGTCTTGTCTCCAGACTGAACTGTAGGCATGCACATGCTCAGTTTGGTGTATATTGTTAGAGAGGTTTTTTTTTCTTCTTGGGAGAGTGCATGTGATCAGCACAGGGCCAATCAGCACTGTCCAGACAGAGGACAGGGTATTTGCATCCTCCTAGAGCAGAATGAAAACTCCTCCTACAAGCTTTAGCTAGTGGTGGGCTGGACACAGACAGAAGTCACAAGACTGCTCTAACTGCTGATGAGAAAAGGTATTTAGCAATTTATATTTACTAAAAATTATTGCACTTCCATGTTCTGTGTACAGTGGGAGACTAGATATAGTGGATGCAGGGTCCTGGGTTTAGTAACACTTTAAAGCTCTTTCTATCATAACAATGACACTAGGGTAGACTACAAACATTAAAAAGTATACTGTGCACAACCGAAACATCGCCAAATCAAAAAAATACTCTGGGACTCAAGGGCATTTAGAGAGAAAAAGCCTGAGGACTAAAATAGTGAATAATATGCAAAAAGATAAAAGTCCATAGCCTGGCCACAGTTCTATAACACAACACTCACTGGAACCAACCACTTATAGTCAATTGCTTAGGGGAAAGATCTATGCCTGCAAACCATTGCTGACCCCAGTAGACATACCAATAGTCTTTGCCTCTATCAGGCACTCACAATCATTTCATTTTCAACTCTACAGTATGCTCTAGACATGACATGACAGTTTGAAGCTAATTAATGGTATGGACAAAATATTCTTGTTAGCACTTTTTTCTTTATACATTGTGCAAAAATAGACAATGCGTGATTATAGCCCCAATTACCGCTAAGGTATAATGATCATTATTTGCCACACTACACATTATTTTTAGCCGCCATTGAGACTGCAAGCAATGAGAGCATATTTGGAAGGGACCCTCTCCTCCTCTTGCGTTTTTGTTTAGTATATATTTTTTTTTAGCTTGTAATGCACTGGTTAATGATTTGGAGCACACTGCATATTCAGTGTTTTGTAAACAAAGGATTATAATAATACTAAGGAAAGTCAATGATTTTCCAACACATCAGTACAAAATTATTAGGTATTAGATATTATTAGGTATCAGAAAAAAATATTATTGTGCGTTATAATAAAAATTTTAAAATATAGATGCAATTTACTTTTTATTCCTTTTCGTTTCTTCATTCGACAAAATATTTCATTATTGGAAAAGGGAAATAATATTTTTTTTTACTGTGGAAATTCAGAAACCACAGACATGTGGATTGTGAAGTTTTTGCCAACAAGCTGTGGAGAAAATTACAGAGATACTTTTTCTGTGCTTAAGAGTTTTTATATGACTCAGTGACTATTTTTGTTTTATAGCTGTACGCTTTTCTAGATACTTCATAGGTAATTTGATAGACATATTGAGCTCATATTCTAAGCAATTACAAAATGCCATTTCGACTCCACCAAATGCAGTGAGCTATTATAGAACAAATCAACAGTCTTTCTTGATCACATGCACTGTCTAATTATTATTTTTCCTTTTAAGCTATTTAATGGCAAATTAGCAAAGAAAATGTATCTTATTCAGTCTAATTAGCAAAGAAAAGTCATTTTACTCGATCTTACTTAAAGCTAAACTCCAGGCAGAGTCATTTAAATATATTTTTCATTAGACACAAAAGATATAAATCTACTTTTTGTGCACCAAATGCCTTTACAAACCAATATATTACTTTGAAGAATTAGCTGGGACCTCCTCACTGTGGTGTACATAGCTTGTGCAGAGAGCAGAGCTGTTGGAGGGACTCAGTGGACCCACCCATTATAGGCTGCCTGTAGAAAACTACAGAAGGGACAGAGACAAGACCAGTCATCCAGCACAAGGGGAGAGCAGCAGTAACTGGTCTTTGGTACAGGAAGTTACTGCACAAAGGCAAAGTTTCACACTGGATTACTGCACAGATCTGGAAGAAATACACAAAGCACACCAAGATTCAAGTAAGAACACACACATGACTCTTGTACCTAGACATTATTTGCTTATGCTGGGGCTTGGCTTTGGTTCATTTAATTATTTTAGAAAACACCAGCAAAACTATGCCCATTCAAGAACAGGAAAGGCTGAGGAAGTAACAAACAGAAGCTTCTTAGTGGGCAGTATATGCAGTAAAGGAGTGCAAAGGGTATGACAGACTATATGTGTATGTAGGAAATTAGTGTGCTCCAGCAAGAAGAAACAAGAGCAGTGCTGGAGGCAATTTGCAGTACACAAACTCATTTTGGTAGCATAATTATTATTGTGGAATATGTTTTTGTTAAAGAGCATTAATTGTTATCAAACTGTTATGAATAAAGTTCCACTTTAAAGAGAAGATTGTACTCTGATTGCTATGTGCTAATTTGTTGGCGTATCCCATGCCCTAACTCGTCTCCAGTTAAGTTTCATCAAGCAATAAATCCTAAAAAGACATCCTTTAGACTGTGTTTTTGGAGCTGGTGTGAATGGATTGGTGCTTGCAGTGGTGGGAGGTCTCTGTACTTTTAGGGAAGAACCAGTTAAAATCAGTTAAACCAGTTGCCCTGTAGGCTTGGTTCACATATATAACTGCTTTTGCGGGCAGAGTATACTTGGGCACAGCAGCCCATTCATTTTCCCTTTCCCATTCATTTCAATAGGCTGCTGTGCTTGCGCTTTCTGCAGAAAAAGGTGCACGCACCTTTTACGAAAAGCAGCCTACAGGGAAATCTCATTATCATTTTGACCATGCCATTTCCCTGTGGTTCCTTCACCCGCAAACGCGCTGAATTTTTACATGCGTAGGGGTGCCATTTAGAATCAATGGCAGCCCTGTGTGTTTTCTCACAGCAGCCGTTTTTTACAGTGGGTGCGAGAATTGATGCAATTCCTGAACTTGCAGCCACCCGCATAGATGTGAACTGAGCCTTAGGGGGTAGTGCTACACAATAATCCTCAGCTTGACAATATTTTAATATTTTAACGCACACAGATACACTATATTGCCAAAAGTATTGGGCCAGCCCCTCCAAACCATTTTATTCAGGTGTTCCAATCACCTCCATGGCCACAGGTGTAAAAAAATCAAGCACCTAGGTGTGCAAACTGCTTCTACAAACATTTGTGAAAGAATGGGGCGCTCTCAGGAGCTCAGTGAATTCAAGCATGGTACCATGATAGGTTGCCACCTGTGCAATAAGTCCATCTGTGACATTTCCTTGCTACTAAATATTCCACGGTCAACTGTTAGTGGAATTATAACAAAGTGGAAGCAACTGGGAACAACAGCAACTCAGCCACGAAGTGGTAGGCCACGTAAAATGACAGAGTGGGGCCAGCACATGCTGAAGCGCACAGTATTCAGAAGTCACCAACTGTCTGCAGAGCCAATAGCTAAAGACCTCCAAACTTCGTGTGACCTTCAGATTAGCACAATAGTGCATAGAGAGCTTCATGGAATAAGTTTCCATGGCTGAGCATCTGCATCCATGTCTTACATCAGCAAGTGCAATGCAAAGCGTTGGATGCAGTGGTGTAAAACACGCCACCACTGTACTCTAGAGTGGTGGAGACATGTTCTCTGGAGTGACAAATTACGCTTCTCTGTTAGGTAAACTGATGGACATGTCTGGGTTTGGCAGTTCCAGGAGAACGGTACTTGCCTGACTGCATAATGCCAAGTGTAAAGTTTTGTGGAGGTGGGATTATGGTGTGGAGTTGTTTTTCAGGGGTTGGGCTTGGCCCCTTAGTTCCAGTGATGGGAACTCTTAGTGCGTCAGCATACCTAGACATTTTGGACAATTTCATGCTCCCAACTTTGTGGGAACAGTTTGGGGATGGCCCTTTTCTGTTCCAACATGAATGCGCACCAGTGCACAAAGCAAGGTCCTTAAAGACATGGATGAGCGAGTTTGGGATGGAGAAATTTGACTGTCCTGACCTCAACCCAATAGAACACCTTTGGGACGAATTAGAGCAGAAACTGCAAGCCAGGACTTCTCGTCCGACATTAGTGCCTGACCTCACAGATGCACTTCAGGAAAAATGGTCAAACATTCCCATAAACACACTCCTAAGCCTCGTCGACCGCCTTCCCAGAAGAGTTGAAGCCGTTATAGCTGCAAAGGGTGGGCCAACTCAATATTGAACTAAGACTGGGATGCCATTAAAATTCATGTGCGTGTAAAGGCAGGCTTCCCAATACTTTTGGCATTATAGTGTATATTCAGTACATACTCTCACCGGCCACTTTAGTAGGTACATCTGTTCAATTGCTTGGTAACACAAATTGCTAATCAGCCAATCACATGGCAGCATTTAGGCATGTAGACGTGGTGAAGACAATTTGCTGAAGTTCAAACTGAGCATCAGAATGGGAGGAAAGGGAATAAGTTACTTTGAACGTGGGATGGTTATTGGTGGCAGGCAGGCTGATCTGAGTATTTCAAAAACTGCTGATCTAGCGGGATTTTCACACACAACTATTTCTAGGGTTTACAGAGAATGGCTCGAAAAAGAGAAAATATCCAGTGAGCGGCAGTTGTGTGGATGATGAAAATGCCTTGTTGATGTCAGAGTTCAGAGGAGAATGGGCAGACTGGTTGCTGCAACAATCAGATGGTATAGTAGGGTCAGAATTTGGTGTAAACAACATGAAAGCATGGATCCATCCTGCCTTGTAGTATCAACAGTTCAGGCTGGTGGTGGTGTAATGGTGTGGGAGATATTTTCTTGTCACTAGCAAGGTGTACCTAATAAAGTGGCTGTTGAGTGTGTGTGTGTATATATATATATAAAATGTTATATGTATTATATATATATATATTGTATATAATTCATATTTTAATACTGCAAGCACTATACTGGAATACTAGAGATGTTGCTTCTTTACACACTTAGCTACAGTATGTAATCCATATAGATTTCATAAAAAGAAATTTGCCTTACCTTCCAGCAGTCCTATTATGTAGACTTTGTATGAAGCTGGTTATTTATAAAAACTGTATTTTCCCTCCACATTCATTCTCCTGGTGATTTAATAGCTCCAAGTGAATGTCAGTTCACAGAAGCTTGCCCTGTACAATAAACTGTAATTGCAGTCATCTACCAATTGTTCTGGATTTTCTCAAAACATATTTGCCTCAAACAGTTTGATACACTATTAATGATTTGTTTGCTGGAATGTGTTTTATTGAAATGCAATTCATTGTTAAATACTTCACCCACCTCTTTGAGACAGTCACAGATCACTTGCTGTGCTTTTGACAAAAACCATTTATTTGAAACTATAGATGTGTAGGCACAAGCTCTGGCTTAAAGTCATATGTCTAATTTTTGTTTCTCCCATAAGAATCAGTTAATACATGTTTCCATATAATATGTGCATTAAAATGGAATTTAATTGTATTTGGCACAAAACTGTATTTTTTGCCACTATTCAAAAAGGAGAATAGGTGTAAATTTAAAGGAACTCTAGAAACATAAAACTGTGGAAAAGCCTGGGATGATAAGAACTATTTTACCAACTATACAAGTATATATATATAAATATTTTATATCCCAGGAAGTATTTATTCCTGGGACACACTATAATAATAGTGTAGAAATCTGCTGCCCTCTACTGTCTGAATTGGTAAATGCCTGTAAATGTATTATGTATGCACATGTCCCTGGGATGTTGGCTTTGAAACCCTGGAAGGAGGAAATGTAATGATAGAGAAAGTCCTGTCCATGCTGCTAAATGCTGGACCAGAAGAGACCAAAATGCAAGTATCCCTATGATCTTATGGTTTGTCTGCAGCTGCTGAGTTTATATTTAGATCCTTATAGCAGACAGAGCGTCTCTGCCCTAGGTTTGTGTAGTGGTCACCTCCGAGGATAATAGTAGGTGAACCTGTTTATTGCAATATAGTTTTTTATGCAGCTCCTGTTATTCCAGTTAATGCTGTTCCTTTTGGACTGGGATTCTATAGCTAGTTTTAGCTTAGGGCTCGATAACCAGCATAAGCTAGAGCCAGATCAGGCTTCCAGCGGCCATGTTGAGATCATAGGCTTAGAGGTCCAGTTGGATGTCAGATTAGAAACTATTAGAGGGGGGCTAATGTGTAGAGCAGATAGACTGACTCTTGATTTCCAGTGCCATAGTTCCAGTGCCATACCCGCAGTACCTGCTGGTGAGAAGCTCCATTCCAGGCTGGTCGCACAACAGTTGGAGATTCTCCCGATGACCACAGATCTTGTGTTCAGGTCTCCGACACAAGGACAGATGCTGTATCATCCTTAATGTCTGCAACTGGACTTTGCTACAACATTCACTTTTAGGTATCTCCCAGTCTCCACTGGGATAGCAGCTGTTTGTCCTAGTGGAGTTTTAAATGACGACTGGGATCAGAAGTTCCCTCAGGTCTTGGCAGGGATGCAGGCTGAAAACACTGGCAGCCTGTCACACTTGGCATCCAGTGCTATGCTCAGGAGCTGAAACTATCAGCTCCTGGGCTTCTGATTCTTTTGCACAGTGCTTCAAAGGAATGCTTTGTGAAAGCCAGTGTAAACACAATACTTCTGTGTTGTGTTTACTTTGGGTGTGTGATGATGCTACTGTACACCCATTCACTACAGAGGGTCAGGTAGAGTTGTCATAGCACTGCCCAGTCCTCCACACAGCAGCTGATCACTGCTATAGTGATCTACTGCAGGCTGATTGCAGCCAGCAATAGATGACTATAATAGCAGTGATCTACTGCTGTAAATCTTCATGGAGGGTATGAATCAATCTCCACAGATCAAATTCAGACCCCCTAAGTAGAAAAAAAAAAGTTTAAAAATGAAAACAAATGTTTAAAAAAGTGTATATAAAACATAAATAATATAATAAGTATGTATGTATTGATTGGACACAACTAAGGGAACCTGCGCACAAGATGGGATTCCGCACCTGTCTGATTGAAGCCTAAGTTGCAACAATGACATTGGGGTGATCTGGATGACATTTTTGTAAGTATCAAATGCTCAAGTAAGTGAATGCAAGGTCATTTAATTTCATGGTTGTGAAGAATGTGGTGTCTGACCCCAGCTCTCACCAACTCATGACAAAGGACTTGTCAATCTCACACTTCGCTGTCACTTACGCAACAATGCCACTCTCAGCTGCACCCTGCACCAAGATTTTCCAGCTCGTAGGACCACAATCTATGTATCAGCAGCCTGATAGTGATTGTCACTGGGTTAAGTTAACTAAGCTACCAACACTTTTTGACTGAGAAGGTGGAAACCCACAATCTTAGTAAGAACAAATATGAAAAAATAAACGTCTGTACACACACTGTCTCCACAGACAGGTATGTTCAGAGATATGTTTTATGCAGTAGCACTCTTCAAGAGAAAGGGATTCTTTAGTTTGTATTAAAAGCCTTAGGGACAGTTTAACACTTTTAAAAATAGGCTTTAATATTGAAAAGGTCAAAATTGTGCAAATAAAATATTTACAGAAAACAAGTGTTACAAAGAAATAAAGAGACAGTAAAACAACAGAGAATTAAAAAGGAATTGAAAATGAAGAATACTTGCAGAAGCTTTGTTTCTACCAGAGTCCAACTGATCAAGCAAAAATAGTACAGTGGCTCTCTCAAGTCCAGTTAGGTGTTCCTTGGTTGATTTTAAACAAGAGCTATCAAATCTGCTTGCAATCTCTTTTTTATCTGACATCAAGGGGGGTGTTGACGGAGGCCATCTGTCCAATTACCCGGTTTAAGGGATGGTGGCTGGGAGGCCACCATGTTTATGATTGTAATGGGCCCTCCCTTTACACACACTTTTATACTGATATTAATATCTTCCACTATGTATAGGTTGCATTCTGAAAACTGATACTGTAGATTTTGTTCAGCATTATATTTCTTGTCCTAGATTGGAAGCTCCAAGGAGCAGGGCCCTCAAATCCCTCTTGTATTGAACTGTATTGTTACTGTATTGTCCCCCACTATATTGTAAAGCGCTGAGCAAACCGTTGGTACTATATAAATCCTGTATAATAATAATAATAATGTCCAGGGATATCAAACAGAGAATATTTTGGATGGGTAAGTCACCCAGGAGGTAGGAGACTGCTTTCTTTCCTTTCATATGTCCTAGCTTAGTCATGTATGACATTGATTTGTTCAGTATGATATTGTCCATTCAAATATATATTTAACCTCCACCTGCATCGGCAGTGCTCCTGTCCAGCTGTTTATCGGCAATGGGCCAGACAGGAGTACTGCCGATGTGTGGGTGGACGTTTCTAAACGTCCCCTTGCATCCATTGCCTGTGCACGCTCCCTGGGAGTGCAGGGCACTGTGATCAGTGCCCGCTGTGTCCTCCTGACACAGATCGCTGTAGGGGACCTCTGTATGAGATCCCGATTCAAGAGATCACTAATTGGTCAATCAGTGATCACATGAATAGTAGTAAACAAGATGCCACTTCCTGACATCATTGCTTACTACTTGTGAAATCTGTGAATGACCACAGAGGTCACATGGTACAAAGCTATTCACAACAGCCTTGTACCATGTGACAAGCT